CAAACGAGGAAACTGAGGCTGGGAGAGGAACTGGCTGGGGCCTTGCAGCCTGGGTTGCCAGGTACGATCGTTCAGCTTCAGCTTGGACACTTCCCTTAATGGGGAGCTCACCACTTCCTATCAGAAAACTGGGCACCCACTATTTCTTTTTCTTTGAAAAAATTTTTTTAAAAATATGTTTTATTGATTTTTTTTCTTTTAGAGAGACAGAAAGGGGGAGGGAGAGAGATAGAAACATCAATGATGGGAGAGAATCATTGATTGGCCGCCTCCTGCACGCCCCCCAGTGGGGATCGAGCCCACAACCCGGGCATGTGCCCTTGACCCGAATCGAATCGAACCTGGGACCCTTCAGTCCGCAGGCCGACGCTCTATCCACTGAGCCAAACCAGCTAAGGCTCTTTTTAAAATTTTTGTTTGATTTTAGAGAGAGAGAAAAGTGGGGGGTGGGGGGAGAAACACTGATTTGTTCTTCCACTTATTTGTGCATTCATTGGTTGCTTCTTGTATGTGCCCACAACCTTGATGTATTGGAATGATGCTCTAACCAGCTGAACTCCCTGGCCAGGGCTATTTCTTTTTTAAATATGTTTTTATTGATATTTTTGTTTAGAGAGAGAGGAAAGGAAAGGGAGAGAGAGAAACATCAGTGTGAGAGAGAAGCATTGATTGGTTGCCTCCCATAGGCATCCTGACTGGGGATCAAACCCACAACAGTCCGACTGGGAATCGAACTAAACCAGCGACCTTTTGGTTCACGGTGGATGCCCATCCAAAGGAGCCACATCAGCCAGGGCTAGGCATGGCTTCCTTTTATTGGTGGTATTTATCTCCTCGTTCAACAAACCTTTGTCAAGGGTCGATTGTGTGCCAGGCACTGTGCTGGGTGCTGGGGACACAGCCGGGAACCAGACTCAGAGGTCTGCCCTGTGGGGCTGAAGTTCTGATGGGGGAGACACAGTAAGTGCATGAGATGACTTCACCTTGTGATAGCGCTGAGGGTAAAGTGAAAGTAGATGACATGTTAAAGCAGCGGTTCTCAACCTGTGGGTCGCGACCCCTTTGGGGGTCGAACGACCCTTTCACAGGGGTCACCTAAGACCATCCGAAAACACAGATATAATTACCTATTGTTTTTGTGATTAATCACTATGCTTTAATTATGTTCAATTTGTAACAATGAAATTGGGGGTCACCACAACATGAGGAACTGCATTAAAGGGTCTCGGCATTAGGAAGGTTGAGAGCCACTGTGTTAAAGGGTATTTTGGTAAGAGTGGTCGGGGAGGGTCTTTTTCTGAGGAGGTGACACTTAACTGTAAACTGGATGATAAGATCAGGCTCTAAAAAGACTTGGTTTAGCCCAGTCAGTGTGGCTCAGTGGGTGAGCGTCGACCTATGAACAGGTTACCCTTCGATTCCAGTCAGGGCACATGCCCAGGTTGTAGGCTCCGTCCCCAGTGTGGGGCATGGATGATTCTCTCTCTCTTCCTCTCTGAAATCAATAATTAAAAATAAAAAACATTTAAAAGGTTTGGTTTAAGTCAATCCCTTCATCCCATTTCACAGATCTGGAGGCAGAAGCCCCGAGAGGACCCGGTTGGGTCCGAGCTTGCAGAATGCAGGTTGCGTGAGCATCCACTCTGTGATTGTCCAGCTTGGGGTTGGTCCCATCCTGTTCCCAGGGTCCTTCTTGTCCAGCATATAGATACTGTCCATCAGCAGTAGTGGTAATATTGGTGACTATTTTTAAAATAACAGCTACCATGTATCTAGCACCTACCCTGTGCGGAGCTGTCCGCTAACCTGCCTTGTCCTGAATCCTCGCCAATGAGCGTCCACTCTGTGATTGTCCAACTTGGGGTTGGTCCCATCCTGTTCCCAGGGTCCTTCTGGTCCAGCATATAGATACTGTCCATCAGCAGTAGTGGTAATATTGGTGACTATTTTTAAAATAACAGCTACCATGTATCTAGCACCTACCCTGTGCGGAGCTGTCCGCTAACCTGCCTTGTCCTGAATCCTCGCCATAAACCTAGGAGCTGAGGTGCTGGTCCCGTGCCCCACTGCCTCCCTGTTTATTTCGGGGGCGGGAAATCTGTTTGGCCACCTCCCTTCCCTCTAGGCACGCAGGAGGGAGGGGACATGACCTGGGCCCAGCCCATCAGAGCGTTCTCTGCCCTCTGCTGACGGTGATTGGCTCAGGGGCAGACGTTTGACTCATTTGGGTCGCCAGTGATGGAACCGTGGGCATGACCTTTGCTCCCTCAGGAGTCATTAAAGGGATAAAGTGTGAGTGCAGAGCTGCTGGCGTCCTCTGTCATCTTTGCTCTCTCAAGGAAAATCTTCCTGAGGGGGGAAAAATCAGGGAAATACGGAACCCAGAGACTGAGCAGGGACTTCTTATCATCTCTGAGCTCCTGGATCAAGCTGTGGCTGATGTCGGCCGGTTACTCCTTGGCCTTTTTTTTTTTAGGTGCTTCCCCCACCCCATATGCTTTTTATTGATTTCAGAGAAAGAAAGGGAGAGGGAGAGAGAGAGAAACATTGATCAGCTGCCTCCTGCACGCCCCTTCCTGGGGATCAAAATTACAACCCGGACATGTGCCCTGATCAGGAATGAAACCAGTGACCTGAGAATCAAACCGGTGACCCTTGGTGCATGGAACAGCGCTCAACCAACTGAGCCACGCCGGCTGGGCCCCCTGATCTTTTTCTAACGTGAGCCAATATATTTCCCTAAACAAGTTTGCACTGAAAGCTGAGAAACTGACACTTTCCATGCCCTAGACCTTGAGAATGGGTCACTCGAAGACCCCAGTCATCACATGCGGCCCCATGAAGTCATGGACTATGCGTGTGCATCTAGGCTTCCCCGCAGGGCAGCCACTGGGTCTGCTCAGCTCTGTGTCCCCAGGCACAGGCTGGACTAAGGACCCGGGTACCCAGACTGCTCTGGGGCAGGCCGCTTCCGCAGTCATCGCTGGCTGGTGGTGAGCTCACCCTACTGCACCCGCCACTTTCCTCCCTTGTCAGTATTTCAGCACTGTCTGAGCTCTGCAGGCCTCCCAGTCTCAGCTCTGCCATCTCTTCTGCACGCTAGACCTAAGTGTCAAGCAGATCTTGGATGCCTCCCCCTGGATGTCCCACAGGATTTCACCCTGACTTCGACAGCTTCCTTTCTATGCCTCTTCCTCCCAGCTCTCCAGTTCAGCTGTAGTCCCACACTGATGTGTCTCCTGGACCCGAGGCCTGGCCTCCTCTTGGTTGTCTTCCTCCACTTACCTCCCAGAGCTCATCACTCCTTTCCGGTCTATCTTTTAAAGATGTCGTAGGTTCTCCCTCCTCCCCTCCTGACTTGATCCCCCATCCCCACTTCACTGTGTCCTACACCTCCCTGGTCTCCGTCCCCAGTCCCACCACCTCGCTAGAAGAATCTTGCTAAACCATAAGCCTGCTTAGAGCCTCCTATGGCTCCCCAGTGCTCCAATCCCTGACCTACAAGCCCTCTCTCTGAAATACCTTTCTCTTTTTTTTTTAATATATATTTTATTGATTTTTTACAGAGAGGAAGGGAGAGGGATAGAGAGTTAGAAACATCGATGAGAGAGAAACATCAATCAGCTGCCTATTTTTGATATTTATTTTATATATTTAAATGCCATTTAACAAAGAAAAATCAACCAAAAAAATGAGTTCGCGTGTCACCTCTGACACACGTGTCATAGGTTCGCCATCACTGTCCTACACCTCCCTGGTCTCCGGCCCCAGTACCACCACCTCTCTAGAAGAATCTTGCTAAACCGTAAGCCTGCTTAGAGCCTGCTATGGCTCCCCAGTGCTCCAATCCCTGGCCTACAAGCCCTCTCTCTGAAATACCTTTCTCGTACTTTTCTACCAAGTAAATATTTCGCAGTCCTTCAAGGTCCAACTCAACATCCCCTCCGCTGAGAAACCTTGCATGACTCCCTCCACCTAAGCTGAGTCCCCTCCTCCCGAGAAACCGGGTTGGTGTAACGTGTTCTCTGCTGGGCTGTGTGTGCCGGTTCCTCTGCGTGCTCGGTCTCATGGAGCTCCCCCAGAACCCTCAGGACAGGAACAAACACCCCAGCTTCTATATGAAGAAACTGAGGCAAGCGACTCAGTGAAGGAGTCAGGCTAAGGAGGGGACAGAGTCAGGACTTGAAGCCCTGACCTCACGCCGCCTAGCTCATCTGGTTATGTTGAGTGTTTATCTCAGTTTGCTAAGTTATTTTATAACATTCTCAATAGAGGCACACATGTATGTAATTTATGAATAAAGGATATATTCCAGCCCTAGCCTGTTTGGCTCAGTGGATAGAGCATCAGCCGGAGGATTGAAGGGTCCTGGGTTCGATTCTGGTCAAGGGTATGTACCTTGGTTACAGGCTCCATCTCCAGCCCTGTTTGGAATGCATGCAAGAGGCAGCCATCAATGTGCCTCTCTCACATCGATGTTTCTCTCTGTGTCTCTCCCCCTCCCTTCCTCTCTCCCTAAAAATCAATAAAAAGATTTTTTAAAAATAAACATGTCCTCAGGATCAGCAATTATGAGATAGTTTACATTCTTTTTATCTCACCAGCGAACCTGGGACCCTTGAGTCCGCAGGCTGATGCTCTATCCACTGAGCCAAACCGGTTAGGGCTGAAATACCTTTCTCATACTTTTCTACCAACTAAATATTTCTCAGTCCTTCAAGGTCCAACTCAACCATCCCCTCCGCTGAGAAACCTTGCGTGATTCCCTCCACCTAAGCTGAGCCCCCTCCTCCCGAGAAACCAGGTTGGTGTAACGCGTTCTCTGCTGGGCTGTGTGTGCCGGTTCCTTTGTGTGCTCGGTCTCATGGTGCTCCCCCAGAACCCTCAGGACAGGAACAAACACCCCAGCTTCTGTATGAAGAAACTGAGGCAAGCGACTCAGTGAAGGAGTCAGGCTAAGGAGGGGACAGAGTCAGGACTTGAAGCCCTGACCTCACGCCGCCTAGCTCATCTGGTTATGTTGAGTGTTTATCTCAGTTTGCTAAGTTATTTTATAACATTCTCAATAGAGGCACACATGTATGTAATTTATGAATAAAGGATATATTCCAGCCCTAGCCTGTTTGGCTCAGTGGATAGAGAGAGCATCAGCCGGAGGACTGAAGGGTCCTGGGTTCGATTCCGGTCAAGGCTTGGTTACAGGTTCCATCCCCAGCCCTGTTTGGAATGCATGCAAGAGGCAGCCATCAATGTGTCTCTCTCACATCGATGTTTCTCTCTGTGTCTCTCCCCCTCCCTTCCTCTCTCCCTAAAAATCAATAAAAAGATTTTTTAAAAATAAACATGTCCTCAGGATCAGCAATTATGAGATAGTTTACATTCTTTTTATCTCACCAGGTCCTGGAAACCTGGTGTGGATTTTACACTCACGGCAAATCTCACTTTGGGCCAGCCATGTTTGAAGTGCTTGGGTGGCACAGTCATGGCTGGCCTGCCCTCAGACCTGGGAGTGTGTGTTCCTCAAAGTCCAGCTTTAACAAGTGACAGTGTGCCTCCTGGAGACAGCACGGCTTGAGGCCAAGACCCTAGACTCCAGACTGCAGGCTGCAAATATAGCTGTGGAACTTCCAAGCTGCAACCCCAACCTCTAGGTACCTTAGTGTATCTATAATAATAAAAGCATAATATGCTAATTAGATCAGACAGCCGAACAACCTTCTGGACATCCTTCTGGAAGCCACCATGGTGGGGATGAGGCAGAGGCAGTTCGGGGCAATCAGGCAGGCAGGCAAGAAGTTAGGGGCAATCAGGAAGGCAGACAGAGGCGATTAGGGGCGATCAGGCACAGGTCCTGGAAACCTGGTGTGGATTTTACACTCACGGCAAATCTCACTTTGGGCCAGCCATGTTTGAAGTGCTTGGGTGGCACAGCCATGGGTGCTGGCCTGCCCTCAGACCTGGGAGTGTGTGTTCCTCAAAGTCCAGATCCAACAAGTGACAGTGTGCCTCCTGGAGACAGCACGGCTTGAGGCCAAGACCCTAGACTCCAGACTGCAGGCTGCAAATATAGCTGTGGAACTTCCAAGCTGCAACCCCAACCTCTAGGTACCTTAGTGTATCTATAATAATAAAAGCATAATATGCTAATTAGATCAGACAGCCGAATGACCTTCTGGACATCCTTCTGGAAGCCACCATGGTGGGGATGAGGCAGAGGCAGTTCGGGGCAATCAGGCAGGCAGGCAAGAAGTTAGGGGCAATCAGGAAGGCAGACAGAGGCGATTAGGGGCGATCAGGCAGGCAGGTGAGCAGTAAGGGGCGATCAGGCAGACAGGTGAGTGATTAGGAGCCAGCAGTCCCGAATTGCGAGAGGGATGTCCGACTGCCAGTTTAAACCAGCAGTTGGACATCCCCCGAGGGGTCCCTGATTGTGAGAGGGTGCAGGCTGGGCTGAGGAACACCCCCCCGCCATGCACGAATTTCGTGCACTGGGCCTCTAGTATCTCTATAAAAGAAGGAGTCGCCAACAAGACCTCAGAAGGTATTTGGGGGGTATTTTTTATTTATTGATTGATTTTGATAATAATAAAAGCATAATATGCTAATTAGATCAGACAGCCGAACAACCTTCTGGACATCCTTCTGGAAGCCACCGTGGTGGGGCTGAGGCAGAGGCGGTTCGGGGCGATCAGGCAGGCAGGCAAGAAGTTAGGGGCAATCAGGAAGACAGACAGAGGCGGTTAGGGGCGATCAGGCAGGCAGGTGAACAGTAAGGGGCGATCAGGCAGACAGGTGAGTGATTAGGAGCCAGCAATCCCGAATTGCGAGAGGGATGTCCGACTGCCAGTTTAAACCAGCAGTTGGACATCCCCTGAGGGGTCCCTGATTGTGAGAGGGTGCAGGCTGGGCTGAGGGACCCCACCCCCCTGCACGAATTTCGTGCACTGGGCCTCTAGTTCCTCTATAAAAGAAGGAGTCACCAACAAGACCTCAGAAAGTATTTGGGGGGTATTTTTTATTTATTGATTGATTTTGAGAGAGAGAGAGAGAGAGAGATCGAGAGAATAAAAGCATAATATGCTAATTAGATCAGACAGCCGAATGACCTTCTGGACATCCTTCTGGAAGCCACCATGGTGGGGATGAGGCAGAGGCAGTTCGGGGCAATCAGGCAGGCAGGCAAGAAGTTAGGGGCAATCAGGAAGGCAGACAGAGGCGATTAGGGGCGATCAGGCAGGCAGGTGAGCAGTAAGGGGCGATCAGGCAGACAGGTGAGTGATTAGGAGCCAGCAGTCCCGAATTGCGAGAGGGATGTCCGACTGCCAGTTTAAACCAGCAGTTGGACATCCCCCG